TCATCGAGAGTATATACACATGAAACCGTTTGTACATATATACATATATACCATTGCGCTTGTGTTAATCTCAGTTTTTGTCTTCGTATCTTAATTCTAAAACCCTTTTCTTTTGAGAATGACCAAATCAAGAACCGAGAGAACCCAAAAATACATTTGTCACCATTTAGTTGGTTCAAATTTAATTTTATGATTAAAATTTAATTAAATTAAAATAGTATTTATTTTTTTGGTTTGAGAAACCCAGGGGTTCTCATGGAGATGCTCTCTTGGTCTCATGTTTTTATGTTTAGATATCTTTTTATGTTTTTTTTCTTCTTCTCGCAAAATCAGTTGTATTCTAAACGATGCCCCATTTAAGGAGAAAGAAGAAGAATAAAAGTAAAGAGGGGAAATGTGTTCTTTGATGAAAATTTCAAAATTAGATTATATACCAAACTTGTTGACCAGAAAAAAAAAAAAGATTATATCTCAAATGTCTTTTTATTTTATTTGTTTGAACAACACCTCTCTTTGTCTAATTAATTAGAGTGTGCATCTAAACAAAATAATTCCTAAAACGCGATTAATATTTAATTCATCAAGTATCCATTGCAAGGACAAAAACAATTTGGGTATCCACTGTTTATCCACCACCAACTATCCACTTATATTCCAACTTGGGCGTTTCAGCACCATGTGAGAAATAAATCCCATCTTCTCTACAATCCCAAAAGTTCTTTACACCGAAACGAAGACCACTAGTTTGTACGCCAATATTTGCTGTGAGGAGCTTTTTCATTTTTCTTGATTAATCTCGATGTGAGCTTTCTTTCTTTTTTTTTTTTTTTTTTTTTTTTTTTTTTGTTAGGTATGATATAAAAATAAAAGGTGGTAATTTATACTACCAGGTCAAGTTCATGCATTTAATTTTGCTTCTATATTTAGATTTTTACTAAAAGAATAACGTACGTTTTTTCATTTTTTTTTTGGACCGAACGAAGAATAACGTTCCTCGAAAATTTCAATTTTATTGGTAAGTTTCGAAAAAGAAAAGAAAATTCAGCGTTCAACTTTTACGTTTATAATTTTGCTTTAATGAAGTGGTTGTATTTTCTTTCCGATGCAATGCAAGCAGCCAAGCACATAACGTAACGTAACGACGTATGTAAATAAGCTTTGTTTTTGTTAGCAATAAATAAACCACAAACACATTTTAACGTATCAACAAAACCATTATATCTTTTATATATAGCCAAGATAGTACAGTAAGTTTTAACATAGTCTCGAGAGTACATACACATGAAACCGTTTCTACATACATACATAAATATATACCATTGACCATTGTGCGAGTGTTTATCTCAGTTTTGAGAATCAGGACCAAATCAAGAACCGAACCAATTTTTTAAAATAGATCAAAACCAATCTTCTCTCCGGAGTTACTTCTTAGAGACGGGAATGGATACCAGGAGAGGCATGGATTTTGCCCGACCCGAAATACGATTGAGCATAGTCTTCGATATTCTCTAACCTGTCATCAATCAGATCCAAGAAGTAGTTTAGAGCCAACAAAAACGAAAGCTTTGGTAGTATTCATAATAACTTCAAATATCAAAAGTTTAGTTTACCTATAGACATAGTTTACCATAATGCCTCCACTTTGATGAATCCCTTTCTCCGACCGATCCGCCATCCAATTTATTCTTTCAACCATCTATCAACACAAACATAAAAGCTTTATCAATATGAATCACTCTGTTTTGTCTGTAACACTATACGCATTCACTGGACTTACTGCTCCATTTTGCAAGTGGAAGTTAGCAACAGAGTCTAAAGCTTTCCCTCTCTTCTTCTCTTGCAAGAGGTACCTATGAAAAATTTAACACAAAACATTAGAGTTTTATGCATAAATGATTCATTCATAAGAAGTTAACCATAAGATTATCCAAGAATGAACATACCTAGCACATAACCGCATGAGAATAGGTTCCAAAACTGGCAACATGCGAGGCGAAGTAGCCCAATTGCTGTTCTTTGCCGATAGCAAATTCATCAGAACTTCCATGCCGTTGCTACCGAAAGAAGAATCACTGTGTAAACAAGATCCTGAGTTGATGATGCTTTGATCTTGATTTTTGTGTAAAATTCATAAAAAGATTAAGATTTTTTCTTACTCTGATAGACTCATGAGAGCTTGTTCCTCATCTGGTAGTAATACTCTCTCGCTGAAAGTAGATGAAGGTGAATTGCTCTGTGTGCTACCACTGTGATCATCTCCAGCAAATCTTGACTGAGATGATAACTTCGAAAGGAGCCATTTCATGAATCCAGGAATGGGGCTGAGTGTTGCAAATGTCTGCAACCAAACAGCACAATTTTGTTGAGCAAATTCTCTTTTTCTGGTAACATACATTGCATACAAATTAGTCAAAGTACTCACAGAAACATGTGGCATGTCTTTCTTCACCAACGTAATCACTCGTTTGATCAGAAACTTCCCAAGGTTTATCCCAGCCAAGCCAGGCTTCAAACACATAAGACAGCAGTCAAGAACAAAAAAGTATCAATGAGAACAAAATGCAGATATTCAAGAAGAGTGTGTACATACCTGAGTTGAAGAAATAGAGTAAAACAAAGCGGATGTTGCTTGGTTCTCTGGTATGGGAGGATTGTCCCACAAAACTTCCTGCAGCGGCAAATGAAACTTTTTAGTTACATAGCTACAGAATCCAAACTACGCTGCATAGGATCAAGATTAGTTTGACCTGAATAGTCTGAGCAACGGTTTCCATAAGAGCAACTTCGATAAAAATAAGTGGCTCACCTGAAAAAAGTACCAGCGCAAGATTGTCAAAGAATGCATTCAACTTATACAATCAAAGAAACATTGTAACCAAAGCAACTAACTAACCAGGAATAGATGGATGAAAGTATCCAAAGCATCGACGACCTATCCCTAATCTTCTTTTAAGATCCAAGAGGTTGCTTATAGGATGCACCGCCTTATGAATAAAAACGTTATCAGAACTGTTTAAACCATACTGTAAATGGGAAGATATACTAATGCAATACCTCATACGCGACGATTTTCTCAAGCAATGAAGCAGGATCATCCCAAGTGATTTGATGAAGCTCTAGAGTGGCAGGACTAAGCCACATGCCGAGTTTCTCCTTAAGATATGACTCTAATGTTCGAAGAGACGGCGAGTTTTCTTTTCTACACATTAGAAACAACAACCATCAATGGCAGATTCAACAAGAAAGATCATTCACATAAACAAGAAGATGGGAATTGCATTACGTGAGAATCGAAAGAAGATCAGCGCGGAGGATGGACAAGAATCTCAACCCTCCTGGATGTGTATTCAACCTCTCAAAGAGAGTTTCATAAGTTGGCTTGAGAGCATGTCTCAGATTCCACTCAATGCGATAGAAAACAGAAGACAAAGCCTCCTTCTTCGGAGAATGGACTTGTTGTCCTCCATCGTCACCTTTAAAGAGTGCTCGCTCGCTCATCAAGAGAGATCATACAGAGAGTATCAATCAAAAGACGAAAAGGTAATAGACTTACTGGATGGAGTTTCGAGTCCAAGATATTGCTTGACGAGTTCTCGGACTTGCTCTCTGTTAACATCATATTCTTTGGCTAATGCAAGCAGTAGTTTCTCACGGTCTTCAAGCGAGAGGCTAAAGTAACCCTAGAAGCATTTTTAACCATAAGTCAACAACACATCAAAGGACGTAATCAAGAAGATATTTTTAATAGTTTGTTGTTACCTCTTGAAAATCAGTAAGAGTAATGTCTATTACACCTGTCTTACTAGCTGAGATAGCTGAGTGCATTGTTTCACGAACTACATCATATGACCTTAAGCAATATAACACAAAGTAATCATCAAATTGTGAATCAAGATGAAAGAAATCTATTTTGTTCTTTTTCAGATATCAAATTTACCTTCCTGTGTTACCAAAATCACTAGAAGTTCCGATTCCTTGATTGGAATTTCGCACAATATGATCATTCTCTTGAGGATTAGATGGGATCTCCTTCTGACATAAAGTCAACAACCATTTATTTTAGAGCAAAATAACAGACAAATTGGCTTTTCTCATTATTATATTCATATTCTCTTTACACTAACTAGTACTCAAGCTCAAGAACAAAAACCTTCTTTTCTATACAGAAGCTTCAATTAAACCCCCAAATCCATTCCTTTCTTAACCAAAAAATAAAATGTTCATGTCCACATGATCATAAATTGGTGAATTAGGGCATAATCGGCGTTATTAGCAAAGCAATTCAAACAAGGAAGAGAGCTTACGGGAAATTGAAAAAGTGAAAGTTTTGTGGGATTGGTAGACCTCATCCTAGCACGCATCAGAATCGCCAGGTTTTTCTTGCTCATCTCTGTTCCAAATTGATCATCATCATCATCATCGTTAAGATTTCATCACCAAAACAGAGAAATTTAAAATCGAATTTTAAAAAGTGAAAAAAAAAATTTTGAAACCCAGGAAAAAAAAAGAAAAAGCGATTGGCATCAGAAATGACAGGAACCTTAAAATCTGGCCGTTCAAGGATCGCAAAAGCAGCAACAAACTTGAGATTGTCTTGTCTTTTCAACGGCTATCGTAAAGGCATAGACAATAAAACGGTGTCGGATTTGACCTCGCCGACCACTTCACTTGATGTCTTGATGATCCATGAATAAGATTATTTTCGTTTAGTTTTATTTTCACCATGTTTTGAAATTCAAAATTTGCTAATTTTTAAGTTTAAGTAAGAAATACTATATCATTTTGTTGGGTAAGGGATAAACTTTGCTCAATTTAAAATAATTCAACTAATAACTAATAAGTAAGGTAAATCATCTAAATATAATTTTCGGTGTATAAAATAAAATCGCATTTAACTAACCTATGGCTGAGTAAATAATAATCTACATAACTAATAAGACTTTAACACTTTCCAACATTTGACACGTGGCATTCTCCTCTTTTTTTTTTTTTTTTTTTTCGCCTAAAAACAAAACGACGTCGTTTTGCGTCTCTCATATTTTTTTTTCGCCCAATACCAAAACACCAAAACGACATAGTTTTCCGCCTCTCTTACCTGCTTCTAAAACGACGTCGTTTACCGCTCGTCCTACTCGCGAAATCCACACCGTCTATTCCTTGCTTCCGCCGAGTCTGCTCGCATCCCTGACTCCGCCGTTTCATATTTCAGTGTCCTTCATTAAAAAATTCTCTCCAAATCAGAACTCGATTTCACTTACGGCTCCATCCGGTGAGACTCTCCACCTCCCCCTTCCGCCGTTTCATTCTCCTTCACCACTATAAAACCCTGCATCCACCTCCTGATTCCATCCTTCGGCTAACAGAGATATCCCGTTCCTCTCCTCCCAAAAACGGTTACCTCGCTTCGCCCACCGTCGCCATGGTTCACGGCCGTCAATTCATCATCTTCCCTTTCGACGATTTGATATTAGATCTCACTGCACAAACTCTCATAGATCGTCTGCTGCAAGATCAAGGCTTTGGATGTGGAAATGGCACATGTTCTTCACAAGAGAGACAGATCTTATGAAAGGATCAAGATGCTGAGGATAAGACGAGACAAAGGGGTATTTGATCTTTCTCTCTCTGTTTAAATTTTTCTTATGGATGATTTAAAGAGATGTAATAACATGAAGTTATGTTTGTGTGTTTTGTTAGAATCAAGAATCCTCTTCACGTATTTCCAGAGCCTTGCTGTGATGAGGAAAGCTAAAGATTTGGCTGCGTCTGGAAACGTTAGAGAACTTGAAGTGTTTGCTAGCTCTGAGGTTTGTATTTGTCTGTATCTGTTCCTGACTGATTCTGTGTGTATCATCTGTTCCTGAGGTCTGTCTTTTTATTGTATCCGTTGATAGATTCATGACTCATGAAACAATGAAGAGGCTTTTAGGTGAAGAGGACCTCGCAGTCACTCCAAGAAAGACAGCTGAGCCAAGATGGGAGGGTTAAAGATGGTGAAAAGCAAGCGCATGTCAAGACTAGAAAGGAAGGTGTGGCGTTACAGAGCAAGAACAGAGGTGATTCAAGCTTGATGGCAACAGGTCGAGTGCTGAGGAGAGTGATGTTGTAGATTTGGTGTACGAGAACCCCAAAAAGGAAGAACAAGAAGAAGAAGAGGTTGATGAAGAGACTTTCAAGGAGAGGAAAAGAGAAGAGCAAGCAGAGAAAGCTCGGTTACCCATGGAAAGGAAGAGGAAGCTACAAAAGAAAGCTGCTGCTAAAGCTGCTATCAGAGCTCAGAAGGAAGCTGAAAAGAAACTCAAGGCAAGTTTTACATATTATTAACTCTTTTTCAAATCCATTTCTCATCATCTGTTTCTAAATTATTTGTTTTTGTTTTGTTTTGTTTGCAGGAGTGTGAGAAGAAAGCGAAGAAGAAAGCTGCTGCTGCAAACTCTCCTGCTCCTTCAGAATCAGACCAATCACGAGAAGCAATCAGTGAAAAGGTTACGACTTTGGCAGTCTCAGGGAACGAGAGACACCAGAAGGAGGAGAAATTACTGTTTCCAACGCAGAGATCTTTCAGGTACAAACACCGTGGAAGAGGCACAGAAGCTCTCCCTAAATAAAGGTTGAAGGTGAGTTAGTTTCAACACTCTGAATATAATTCGTGAATCGTGATGCGAGAAAAGATTTTCTCGAAATCCTTGGCGGTTTAAATATAAATCTAAGAAAGCGGGAATATGAGACAATCTTACATGTCAAAGTTGTTTTGCAAATTGGGAATATGGTCGCAGCTTCTCAAAGTAAAGCACAATTGGAGATTCAAGCTTAAATCAGTGAAAGAGAAGAAAAAAGACCGAACAACGATTATTTTTCCAAGTTGGAGCTATGGAAAAAAGAAATAACATTTCAAACTGTGATTTCAGGTCTCAAGGAAAATGATTTTCAACCATTCTTTGTCATGCCTAACAATGCTAAAGCTAGAAGGAGCACAACTACAAACAAAACTCAAATCAGAGTCTTGGTTAATGGTTATGTTAGTCATGCTGTTCGGATCAGAGGTGATCAAAAGGACTGCAATGGGACTTCACATGGGATGGTATGAGGTGTTTGTCACAGTTCTTATGGTCTGGGTTGGCTTTTCTCAGTTTCAAATTTAAAGTTTGGCCTCTTTCTCATTGTTGTTAACGGTCTTAATCTGCTTACTTTTTGTTCATTTTCTTTTGTATAGTTGAACAGTAGTGATTTAATCTCCAACTTCTGACCGAAAATCAAAGCCCTTCTCGACGGAAAGTGATTTAATATCCAACTTGGTTACTATATACATGTATATACTTCTACAGCTATTGTTTTATTGTCTAAGTTATGTATAGCTCAGACTATGAAGTCCACAGTTCGAAAGATTTTATATCTTAATTATGTAAATTGTGTTACTTTTTTGGACCTACGATTTATTACTATAGTATACTCTTCAGTCTTTCAGAATTATCTTAACTCATATTATTATAGTATGCTCTTCAGTCTTGCAGAATTATCTCAACTCATAAGTACAATTGATATATGCATATTCTAAAAAATGCTTACAACATTGAAATGATTCATTCTTTAATCAAAGGATGTCAATTAAAATCAGAGAAACCACTAGAAACATTTTATCATGCTCAAATTAACATACTTTAAAGGCATTTCAACAAATTTACACAGATTGGCTCTTCCTGTATATTCTGTAATTTTTTATGCGTGAAGTGTATAGGTAAACACTAATAAATTTAACATTTTATGTACATTTATTAATTTATGACACATGAGACCAAAATTAGCTCCGACATAGACTTATATCTTAGGCATAATTGGTTCTAATAACTTAAGAAAACAAAATTAATGTAAGAAAAACCAATCCTCCGACCAGGAAGAAAAAGGTGACTAAAGAGACTGTAATCAGAATGAGATTAGAGTCTGTTTTGGTAGTTATATTTTACTCAATATACAATTTGTGTGCAGGTTCATACCTTATTGCAACATACAATTTAAAAACAAAATCCCGCGCATTGAGCAGGTGCCCTCCTAGTCTTTGTTAACGACTTGTATAGTTGTATTGTATGTAAACGTATTTCATCAACCAATTTTTTTTGTCATCGTATATAATCAACAGTTGTGCATATAGCAACCTAATAAGCCCAATGGGTCGAAATTTATGGTAGGCCCATAAACGTTCTGCAAGATCTACAAGACTTCGCGTACGGGCCACGCAAACAAAAAGGAAAGAGATTTTGCAGCCCAAACGTATTTAAACAAATTGAAACCTCAGACCTAATTTTCTTCTATTGTAGCCGTTTGTTGAAGCTTGAAAGAATGACGACGAAGTTGGATATTCCAAGGGATTTGATAGAGGATGAGATTCTCCCTAGGGTTTCGATAACATCTCTGAGAGCAGTGCGATCTACTTGCAAAGAGTGGGAGGCTTCTACCAAAACTCAGATTCTTGGTAAAGCAGCAAGAGCAAGCAAGCCCTATTTAGGGTTCATGTTGATGGATTATAAGGTTTGTTCCTTGAAATTCGATCTCCATGGACTCCGAAACAGCGGAGAGTTCGTTAAACCAAATATAAAGCAAGTAAGTATACTTGACCAAATCGAGATATCTCAAGTATTTCACTGCGCTGGCTTACTGTTATGCGTCATCAAAGACAACAAAGGGCTTGTGGTATGGAACCCTTACATGGGTCAAATAAAGTGGATACAACCAAGAGACAAATACGAGATTTCTGATGTATATGCTTTCGGATATGACGAGAACCGTAACCACAAAATCTTGAGGATTTTCTTTGACGACAATCTTAAAGTTTCGGGGTACGAAATCTACGACCTTAGCTCTGATTCATGGAAGGTAGTCTATGACACCCCTGCATGGGATTGTGATACATGGATTCATGAACAACCCGGTGTGTCTTTGAATGGAAACACTTATTTTTTGGCACAAGATGTAGAAGCAGTTATACCATTTTATGAATATTTTTGGGAAGAACATGCCGACGATTTTTTACTATGTTTTGATTTTACGACTGAGAGATTTGGACCGCATCTGCCTCTGCCTTATAACGACAATAACGTGTCTCTATCATGTGTGGGAGATGAGAAGCTCGCCGTGTTTTATCAACGTTCAGGTAAATGTCATGTTTTAGAGATTTGGGTCACAAATAAGATTGATCCCAATGGTGTATCAATATCATGGAGCAAGTTCTTGGGACGTTTTGACGGTGGTGTTAAGGTTTATGACATTTACGGTGGGAGTTTTTTCATCGACGAGGACAAGGAAGTTGCCGTAGTTTTCGACGTAGACAGACCTAAAGGGTACAAGACTTGTCTCTACCCAGCAGCTCACATCATTGGACAAGATGGATATCTCAAATCTTTGAGTATCGGAGAAGCCCTGAATCTCGGGACGCCTGACGAATCTGGATATGTTGAGGAGAAATATCGTTTCCCACTTGTGTGTTCTTCATATGTTCCAAGCTTAGTGCAATTGTAAATAAACCAACCGGGCTAAACCATCCCGGCTTTTTGCAAGACAAAGGTTCCAACAAAGAATGAGTTATAAAAAAATCTGAAAAGGGTACACTGTAAAAGTTGACCAGAAGCAAACTGAGTTCATGTTTTAAATCTCTGTCTCTCTCTCTGATTAAACTAACAAACTAAAAGCTGCACGAAAATAGCTTCACATCACACACACAAGAAGCTCTAAAGTCTCACCCAATGCTCATCCTGTTCTTCTGCGTTTTGGTGCTGCCACCTGAAAAAAGAAAGTTGCTGTTAAACACCATAACTTGCAAAGCAGGAAAACAAAAGGGTCTCAACATCAACAATATTTGTATCACAAACTCACCTCAACATCATTAACCTCATCATCATCAACCTCGTCACCATTAACCTCTTCATCACGGCTACTGCATGCAGAACAGAAGTAGTGTTCAAGCTTCTTGACTTCTCCATCCGTCATGCCTATACATTCCGAGTGAAACCTACAATGACATAAGTCGCGATCCCGCAAGATTGTTTAGCTAACTTCCAAAAGCCAATACCAACTCTTACAACTAATAAACAGGACTCTAAATAAGTTTATTATGTAACCAGAGACTATCATTTAGACCATAAATTTAACAAGACTAACAAAAGCATTTACCAGTCATTGCACTTCTCACATTCCACCATCAATACATCCGGATTATACGCTTTATTACATAAGCAGTACCTTCATTAGTCAAAGCAAAATCCAAAACAAAATAAGATAATCAAAACTCATGAAGTTAACAAAAGAGAAGGCTTGATTCACACACCCAATTACTATAATATACACTTACACATCAGCTCTCTCAGGGACATAAACGGCGCTATGAACCTTATACTCGAACCTACAATAGTAATCATGCTCCCTAATGCATTTAAGTTCCATAAAGTCGTCAAGGGTGTGAACGATGCATTTGCCTTCAATAGTTTCCACACTCTGAACATCATCGCGGTCAGACAAGAGGAGCTCTCTCTCTCCATAGAAATTTTGCCTACCGTGATACAAGTCATTAGGACGGTAGTACCATAGAACACGCACCTTCACCTCGTTCTTCTCCACATGCAATTCGATCTTCTCAACAAGCGCCACATAAGATGGCTTACGAGAATTCGGTGAACGCATAAACACACTATCTCCCGCTGCAACAAAAAAAAAAAAAAAAAAATGAAACAACTCAACAATCACATTTCCACACATATTGATAAACAGAGAACAATCTCATAAAAACATTGTTTCTTCCGGATATTATAACTCATAACATTCAACTAATCACAATTCTCCCGCTGCAACAACAACTCAACAATCACATTTCCACACATATTGATAAAGAGAGAACACTCTACAAAGAACAATCTCACCAAAACATTATTTTTTTTTCGGACTATTGCTCATAACATTCACCTAATTACAATTCAATCACTTTCCAATATAATTCAGTAAAATGATCCTTCATAATCCAAAATATCACATTTTGCATCCAAATTGATAAATTGGTCAACATTTATACAAAAGATACATATATTTCCCGTTTTAATAGAACGTTACAAGGTCAGACCAAAACATATCCAAAACAATTAAATGAGATGATAAAGATTCCATAAAGCTAAGATTTTAAGGAATTAATTGCTTGTTTGAATCTAAACACAACCCAATTACACAAAATGAACATTTAATAGAGTGATGGGATATGAAATGGTACCTTGAACGACAATTTTGGTGCCTCTGATAGTATACGAATCGATAACTTGCTTGTGCACCTTGCTCTCTGAAAGTTTAGCAGATTTTTGAGTTTTTTTCGAGAATTTATGAGTTTTTTTCGGCATGATATCTGTTTTTTCTTCCCTACCGACCGGCAAACTGGATTTTGTGTGTTGTCTCTCGTTATAGAAATTTTCTGGAAGATCGGAAGCTTGAGATCTATGGGAAGAAGAAGGATGAAAAGAAAATCTCAGGGGAATCGAGAGATAGATCTGCAACCCTAGTTCCCCTCTAGGGTTTTTTTATTGTGTTTTCCTTTTTTTGTTCATCCTTGTAAAAGGAGATTACAAAACCCGCCGCCAAACGAAACGACACCGGAGCGAAAAGCCCACACGAAAACAATACCGGAACGAAAAGCCCACACGAAAGATATAAAAGCCCAAAAGAGGAAAACTTATAAACGCAGTACAAACTTACAAAGGAAATAGCAAAGCTAAAATCCATAATTCTTCATATCGAAGTTAATTAAGCTTAGAACGAATAAACAGCCGGAAATCTTACTTGAAGAAACCAATCTAGAAAGACTCTTGCATTATTGTTTTTTCTCATTGTAAGGATTCGTTTCTAGATTAACTTCTTCATATCGAAGTTAATTAAGTTTAGAGCGAAGAAACACTAGGAAATCTTACTTGAAGAACGAATCTTTATGGTAAGAAAACTCTTGCATTATTGTTTTTTTTCTCGCCATAAAGATTCGGTTCTACAAGTAATATATTTGGCTGTTTCTTTGTTCCGGGACTTAGTTAGAGTCTGACTTTCAGACTTGAGAAATTTTAGTTGCTAGCTTTGATATTTCCTTTGTTGTAAGCTTGTAGTATGTTTGAATGTAAACTTTCTTCTTTTGGGTTATATCTCATTAGTGTAGGTTTTTGGTTTTGGTGTTGTTTTGTTTGACAACGGATTTTATAATCTCCTGCACTTACAAACAGTGTTGATAAAGGCATAAGGCACTATGAATTTTGATGAGAATATACATGTATACCACATTTATGTATAAAGTTTAAGCTAACAAATAATTTAACGTATATACACATTTATGTATAAAGTTTAAGCTAACAAATAATTTAACGTATATAATTTAATTAAAAGGAAATTAAAGGGAAATGTTTTGGCAAACTAAAGATTGTAAGTTCACTGGAATTTACAAGAAGAAACTTCTAGAATTTCTGAAGAACGACAGAGTTGGCGAGACCAGCTTGTTCAATAGTGTGAGTGAGATCAGTCAACGGCGTAGGCGGGAACCCCATTGTCTGAAGCTCCAGGTCGAGAAGGGTCGATGAAACCGCGAATGTCGTTCACCGTGTGGTGGTGACTGAACTTGGCCACGAGGCTTGTCCCATCCACTAGCCTAATCTGTATCGATGTGGTTGGAACTGTTTCATATATCACAAGACTCGGAAACGGTGCTGGTGCTAATTTAATATACCAACCTTATAATCCATTCATTTCTTTTGAATAAATAATTTTTGTTAACGACTTGTGTATGTGAATATAGCAACCTAATAAGCCCAATGGGTATAAATTTATGGATGGCCCATAAACGTTCTGTAAGATTTACGAGACTTTGCGTATGGGCCACGCAAACAAAAAGGAAAGAGATTTTGCAGCGCAAGCGTCTATAAGAAAAGTGAAACCTCAGACCTAATTTTCTTCTATTGTAGCCGTTTGTTGAAGCTTGAAAGAATGACGACAAAGTTGGATATTCCAAGGGATTTGATAGAGGATGAGATTCTCCCTAGGGTTTCGATAACATCTCTGAGAGCAGTGCGATCTACTTGCAAAGAGTGGGAGGCTTCTACCAAAACTCAGATTCTTGGTAAAGCAGCAAGAGCAAGCAAGCCCTATCTAGGGTTCATGTTGATGGATTATAAGGTTTGTTCCTTGAAATTTGATCTCCATGGACTCCAGAACAACGGCGACTTATACCAATTATAAAGCAAGTAAGTATACTTGATCAAATCGAGATATCCCAAGTCTTTCACTGCGCTGGCTTATTGTTATGCGTCATAAAATACAACAAAGGGCTTGTGGTATGGAACCCTTACATAGGTAAAATAAAGTGGATCCAACCAAGAGAAAAATACGAGAGTTTTGATGTGTATGCTCTCGGACATGACAAGAACCGTAACCACAAAATCTTGAGGATTTTCTTTCACAATCATAGAGTTTTGGGGTACGAAATCTACAATTTTAGCTCTGATTCATGGAAGGTTGTCTATGTCATTGTCAACCATGAGTGGGACATGTGGTTTCGTCAACAACCGGGTGTGTCTTTGAATGGAAATACTTGTTTTTTGGCTGAAGATATAGAAGAAGAATTTTTACTATGTTTTGATTTCACCACAGAGAGATTTGGACCGCGTCTTCCTCTGCCTTATGATGAACATAACGTGTCTCTATCTTGTGTGGGAGATGAGAAGCTCGCCGTGTTATATCAACGTTCGGGTATATGTCATGTTTTAGAGATTTGGGTCACAAATAAGATTGATCCCAGTGGTGTATCAATATCATGGAGCAAGTTCTTGGGACGTTTCGACGGTCGTGTTAAGGTTGACATTAACGGAGGGAGTTTTTTCATTGACGAGGAGAAGGAAGTTGCTGTAATTTTGAACATAGACAAACCTAAAAGGAACAAGACCCGTCGCTACCAAACAGCTCACATCATTGGACAAGTCGGATATCTCAAATCTTTGAGTATCGGAGAAGCCCTGACAACTGACGAATCAGAGGAGACATATTGTTTCCCACTTGTGTGCTCTTCATATGTCCCAAGCTTAGTGCAATTATAAATTAACCAACCGGGCTAAGCCATCCCCGGTTTTTGCAAGACAAAGGTTCCAACAAAGAATGAGTTATAAAAAAAATCTGAAAAGGGTACACTGTAAAAGTTGACCAGAAGCAAACTGAGTTCATGTTTTGAATCTCTCTCTCTCTCTCTCTCTGATTCTAAGTTACAGATGAGTAAAAGAAAAAAAAACTAACAAACTAAAAGCTGCACGAAAATAGCTTCACATCCACTCACAAGAAGCTCATCCTGTTCTTCTGCGTTTTGGTGCTGCCACCTGAACAAAAAAGCTGCTGTTAACACCATAACTTGCAAAGCAGGAAAACAAAAGGGTCTCAACATCAACAATATTTGTATCACAAACTCACCTCAACATCATTAACCTCATCATCATCAACCTCGTCACCATTAACCTCTTCATCACGGCTGTTGCATGCAGAACAGAAGTAGTGTTCCATCTTCTTGACTTCTTCATCCGTCATGCCTATGCATTTCGAGTGAAACCTACAATGACATAAGTCGCGATCCCGCAAGATTGGTTAGCTAACTTCCAAAAGCCAGTACCAACTCTTACAACTAATAAACAAGACTCCAAATAAGTTTATTCTGTAACCAGAGACTATCATTTAGACCATAAATGTAACAAGACTAACAAAAGCATTTACCAGTCATTGCACTTCTCACATTCCACCATCAATACATCCGGATTATGCGGTTGATAACATAAGCAGTACCTTCATTAGTCAAAACAAAATCCAAAAACCAAAAAAAAGATAATCAAAACTCATGAAGTTAACAAGAGAGAAGGCTTGATTCACACACACCCAATTACTAAAATATACACTTACACCTCAGCGCTCTCAGGGACATAAACGGCGCTATGAACCTTATACTCCAACCTCCAATAGTAATCATGCTCTCTAATGCATTTAAGTTTCATAAAGTCGTCAAGGGTGTGAACGATGCATTTGCCTTCAATAGTTTCCACACTCTGAACATCATCGTGGTCAGACAAGAGGAGCTCTCTCTCTCCATAGAATTTTTTCCTACCGTGATACAAGTCATTAGGACGGTAGTACCATAGAACACGCACCTTCACCTCGTTCTTCTCCACATGCAATTCGATCTTCTCAACAAGCGCCACATAAGATGGCTTACGAGAATTCGGTGAACGCATAAACACACTATCTCCCGCTGCATCAAAAAAGAAAAAAAAAAAAAAAACATCTCAACAATCACATTTCCACACATATTGATAAAGAGAGAACAATCTCATAAAAACATTGTTTTTTCCGGATATATAACTCATAACATTCAACTAATCACAATTCAATCCTAAAGAATGCATTTTTTGCAATACAATTCAGTAAAATGATCCTTCATAATCCAAAATATCACATTTTGCATCCAAATTGATAAATTGGTTAACATTTAGACAAAAGATACATATATTTCCCGTTTTGATAGAACGTTACATGGTCAGACCAAAACATATCCAAAACAATTAAATGAGATGATAAAGATTCCATAAAGCTAAATTTGTGAGGAATTAATTGCTTGTTTGAATCTAAACGCAACCCAATTACACAAAATGAACATTTAAAAGAGTGATGGGACATGAAATGGTACCTCGAACGACAATTTTGGTGCCTCTGATAGTATACGAATCGAGAACTTTCTTGTACACCTTACTCTCTGAAAGCTTAGCAGCTTTTTTTTTGTTGAAGGGTTTAGCAGATTTTCGAGTTTTTTTCGACAATTTATCAGTTTTTTTGGGCATGATATCTGTTTTTTTCCCTACTGACGGGCGAACTGGATTTTGTGTGTTGTCTCTCGTTATAGAAATTTTCTTGAAGATCGGAAGCTTGAGATCTATGGGAAGAAGAAGGATGAAAAACAAATCTGAGGGGAATGGAGAGATAGATCTGCAACCTAGTTCCCCTCTAGGGTTTTTTTTAATTGTGTTTCCCTTTTTTTGTTTCATCCATTTTAAAAGGTGATTACGAAACTCGCCGCCAAACAAAACGACGCCGGAGCGAAAAGCCCACACAAAAACAATACCGGAACGAAAAGCCCACACGAAAGATATAAAAGCCTAAAATAGGAAAACTTATAAACGCAGTACAAACTTGCAACAAAGGAAATAGCAAAGCTAAGATCCATAAATAACTTCTTCATATTGAAGTTAATTAAGTTTAGAACGAATAAACAGTCGGAAATCTTACTTGAAGAAACCAATCTAGAAAGACTCTTGCATTATTGTTTTTTTTCTCATTGTAAAGATTCGTTTCTGGATTAACTTCTTCATATTGAAGTTAATTAAGTTTAGAGCGAAGAAACACTAGGAAATCTTACTTGAAGAACGAATCTTTATGGTAAGAAAACTCTTGCAATATTGTTTTTTTTCTCAAAATTCGCTTCTACAAGTAATATATTTAGCTGTTTCTTTGTTCCGGGACTTAGTTAGAGTCTGACTTTCAGTCTTGAGAAATTTTAGTTGCTAGCTTTGATATTTCCTTTGTTGTAAGCTTGTAGTATGTTTGCATGTAAGCTTTCCTCTTTTGGGTTATATCTCATTAGTGTAGGTTTTTGGTTTTGGTGTTGTTTTGTTTGACAACGGATTTTGTAATCTCCTACACTTACAAAGAGTGTTGATAACGGCATAACGCACTATGAATTTTGATGAGAATATACATGTATACCACATTTATGTATAAAGTTAAAGCTAACAAAGATTTTAACGTATATCATTTAATTAAAAGGAAATTAAAGGAATTTGTTTTTGGCAAACTAAAGATTGTAAGTTTATTTTACCAAAAAGTGAATATTTTAAGTTGTACGCTGCTATACTGCAAGATCACTTAACGAGAGCGCGCGAAACACTTGAACTTGTTATTGTGTAAAAGGTAATTGGTTTAATGTCATTGTAAAAAGTAAAGTTGTCAAAAATAGTATGAATGATGCTTATACCTTTCACAAACATACATTTTAAAGATATCGAACAAACTATTACGCTCTTGCCCAAATATTCATATATATTTCAAAATTCTCAATATGGGTTTAACACTCGCTCTTTATATTAGCAAACTATACACTCTTAACTACCAGCAACTTAGGCACAATAATAACACAACAACTATCACACTTTGATTATCACTACAAGAAATCATGTGTGTTGCATCACTTATAAAGTGTCAAATAAACAACTGATGCATATTAAAATCACATATTTAAAAATGACACTAATTATTTGAATTCACTAATTATTGACACAAAGTATTAGAGTCACCACTTCCAAAGTCATTTATACAAATGATGGAAATACATTTACATCATTGAAAAAATGATAGAAACAACAAAAATAAATTATGCAACACACATGATTTCTTGTAGTGTATACTCTTACCAAGATAGTATATAATTGTTCCAAAATAAATCTAAACCGAATAATGAAAATATTTTCGATAAATTAAGAAAAACTATACCACAAGTCTTTTCTTCCCATATGAGAGACCACCGTTTATGGCTGCGTATAAGAAGTAACTTACAGGCCAACATTTTGTTTTTTCTGGTTACAAATAACAGTTATGAAAATCTCATAATAATGCATATAAAGATAGCCAAAAATAAAAGAGCCAAACTTCTAGAAACTTCTAGAATTTCTGAAGAACGACAGAGTTGGCGAGACCAGCTTGTTCAATGGTCTGAGTGAGATCAGTCAACGGCTTAGGTGGGAACCCCATTGTCTGAAGCTGGTAGTTCACCGGAGCTCCAGGTCGAGAAGAGTCGATGAAACCGCGAATGTCGTTCACCGTGTGATGGTGATTGAACTTGGCCACAAGACGTGTCCCATCCACTAGCCTAATCTGTATCGATGTGGTTGGAACGGTTTCATCAATCACAAGACTCGCAGACGGTGCTGGTGCTGGTACTGGTGCTGCGGAAGGTGGAGCCGTTGGTGAGCTGGTTCCGCTGATGTCGATGTTACCACTTAAAGTCCTTCCGACACCTTGAAACGAAACCCTACGCGGCTTCTCTCGTTCCTACAACAAGAAACAAGACTCAGGAACTCGATTACTCATTACATTTTTGGTGATGATGCAATAAAGAGGACTCACAGGGCATTTCTCTTCCCTTCGCATCAGATTGACATGTACAGGAGCTCTTCTATCCGCAGGCTCGAGCTCTTTCGGGCACTCAGACTTTCGAATGCTCTGCAAGAGACACAAATCAATAACTCAAAAACAGAGTTTATACTTTTTTACAATGGTACTGATTCGTTTATTTTACCTCGAGAAACGATGCATTCTCTGGATCATCCAACTTCCTCAAAGGACCATCGTCTATGGTGAATCCATTAGACCAGAAAACAATGTTGTGAACGACAGGCTCAGGCTGTTGAAGGCCAGTGGGGACACTCTCTCCTGAGAGCAATCTCCCAGTTCCGGTGAAGCTCCTCGAGCTTGATGGAGTCTCGAGAGGTCCTTCCACAGCTCCTAGCTGTCTAGCTTGGTTGAATATCTCATCAACATCATCTTTTTTCGAAGGATCCTGCACAAGCATACCACTGCAAAAAAAAAAAAGGAAATCAAATGTAAAAAAAAAAAACATTTTAGTAGACGGTTTCAGTATTTACATGAACCCTAAACTGAGATACTGAGCTAGATTTACAAGAACTCTTATTAAATCCTCATCCAGAGTGTTATCATTAATTTTGATATAATTGAACAATCAATATTGAGACACTGAGCTAGATTACAGTAAATCATGAAATTTAATATTTTTCTTGAACCTCGATCTAGAGTGGTATCATCAAATTTTGATCCAATTAAGCAATTTAAAGCTGTTTAATGATAGCGCAATTAGTGAAATTAATAATCTAATTCGAGAATTCCAGATCCAAACATGACCAATGACGATCGTCTCACTTATATCACTAATAATCAGTATCAGTCAAATGAATCAATGGATAACTGAAACCAGAGTAAAAGTTTTAAGAGTACC